CTGAGATCCCGAGGGTACAAGGTAAGTTGTAGGGTGCGTCTACGAGTCTCGAAATCGACGAAGTTGGTCGAGTCTTGGCAGTGGATGTTGTGCGAAAGGTACCCGGCGTCGGTTTCCCATGAAAGATTGAGAACCTGCTGAGGGCCAGGCCGACGAAGATCCAGTGGAGTTGTGCGAAAGGTACCCGGCGTCGGTTGCTCATGAGAGATTGAGAACCTGCTGAGGGCCAGGCCGACGAAGTCCCGACCGAACTCCGGGGTGGAGCGAAGAGTGGTGACTGCAGGCATCACTGCTTAGCCCCGCTAGGGAGGTTCTGCCTAACATCCTCCACATGAGGCGGACACTGGCCGAATTCATCGACCACTCCGAACATGACCATGAAGCGCTGGCAATTCTGGCGGCCCTGGAAAGGGATTACGCCAAATACCCGTCGGTCGGCCTGAAAGTCACCGGAGCCGAGGGCCTGGTGCGCAGCCTGGACGTGAGCAGCATGCAGAACGCCGGCAGGAGCAGCAGCCGCGACCGACGGGAGAACAGCAGGGAAAGGAAGAGCGACACCCGCGAACAACGAGCGGAGAACGGCAAATCCGGACAGGATTATGCAAAAATCGCGAAACAAGTGAGGGAGTGGAGTTTCCGTTATGACGGGAATGAGAAGCCACTGGAATTCCTCGAACAAGTGGAGTGGTCGGCCATGACGTACGGGCTGGACATCAACCAAATTCCGAGGGCGATGCCGGAGCTCCTTCAGGGCAGAGCGTTAAAATGGTTCATCGCGAACAACAGGTTCTGGGAGACCTGGGGCGGATTCAGCCAGAGCTTCCAGGAGTTCTTCTTGCCCAGGGGTTTCATGAACAAACTCGCAGATCAGGTCAGGCAGAGGAAGCAGAAATTCGGTGAAAGCTTCAAAGACTACATGGTAGACATGCAGACACTGATGCGACCCCTGGGTATGAACAAGGACGAGATCCTGGAGCGGGTTAAAGAGAATAGCACCCCAGCATTACGGCTGTTTATACGCCCGTACAGGTGCCAGAACCTAGACACCCTGATGGCATTAGCGGACGAGTTTGAGGAGCTTGACCAGCAGAGGGAGCGGTTCGAGCAGGAGAACATCCCGAAAGCCCGATACCATGTGCCGGCCATGAGAAGGGAACCAGCAGCAACGTGCAGGCGCTGTCAGGAGGAGCCAGACGAGCGTAACGCACGGCCCGGATATGTGAACAATCCATCCCAGGCATGCCGGAGATGCGGAAGCCAGGACCACTGGGCGAAAGAATGCCGCAACCGAAGAATAGCGTTCTGTTGGAGATGCGGGAAAATAGGCGTCACGAACGGCGAATGCTGCGCGCGAGCGGGAAACGCCAAGCGACCTCAGCCACCGAGGGGCGGCCAGGGATCGCAAGGTGCTGCCTCTCGAAATTAATGGGCGACCTGAAGGCGGAAGAGATGCAGCTGTCCGCCACAGTGCTCATAAACAAACAAAAAGTGAAGGCCACGGTGGACACTGGCGCCACGGCAAGTTTTATAAGCGAAGAGTTGGCGGACAGGCTGCAGGCCGCCGGTAAGGTCGTACCAACAAGAAGGCAGGTGCGCATGGCAGACGGAAGATGCGGGAGCATCCAATCACAGCTGGAGATAGTGGTTGGTCTCGGGACGAGAAATGTGGTGATGCAGTTACTAATCCTCCCAAGAGTGATAGACGCCCTAGTATTGGGCTGGGATTTCCTCACAAAAATAGGAGCGGAGGTAAAGTGCGCAGGACTCGAGGTGGCGATACCAGCAAGGAAGCGCAGACTAGGAATGCTGGAAGAGAGACTGTCGGTGGCAGTGGTAGAAACACCAGAACAGTTTTCGGAAGAGGACATCGCCAAATTCCTGAAGGAGGAGCTGAAAGCCCTAGAAGAGTCAAGCGGAGCATCGAACATAGCCGTCCACAAGATCACGATGAAGGACGACCAGCCAGTGAAGCAGCGGTACTACCCGAAAAACCCCAAAATGCAAGGGGAAATAAACGAAAAGGTAGACGAGCTGCTGGAAAAAGGATGCATCGAGCCGTCAAGAAGCCCGTACAGCTCTCCAATCGTCATGGTAAAGAAGAAGACGGGAAAGTGGAGACTGTGCGTAGATTTTCGACAGATCAACGCAAAGTCGGTAAAGGATGCGTACCCGATGCCTATGATAAATTACATCCTGGATCAGATAAGGGAGGCACGATACATCAGCAGCCTGGACTTGAAGGATGGATACTGGCAGATACCGCTGGAAGAGAAGAGCAGGCAGTATACCGCGTTCACCGTCCCAGGAAAAGGACTGTTCCAATGGAAGGTGATGCCATTCGGGCTGCACTCAGCGTCGGCAACGTTCCAAAGGGCGCTCGATCAGGTCATAGGGCCTGAGATGATGCCGCACGCCTTTGCGTATCAAGACGATATTATCGTCATCGGACGGACGCTGGAGGAACATAAAAGAAACCTGAGGGAAGTGTTCCGAAGACTGAGAGCAGCGAACCTAAAAGTAAACGTGGAGAAGTGCAAGTTCTTCAGAAAGGAGCTGCAGTACTTGGGACATCGCATCACCGACCAAGGAATTGGAACTGATCCGGAGAAGGTGGCGGCGATAGCGTTGCTGGAACCTCCAGCCAACGTCAAGGAGCTGAGGCAATACCTGGGAGTGGCATCATGGTACCGACGTTTTGTACCCGACTTCGCCACACTAGTCCAGCCGCTTAATGCCCTACTCCGAAAGAAGGTGAAATGGGAGTGGACCGACGACCACCAGAAAGCGTTTGAGGCGGTCAAGGCCAGGCTGGTCGCAGACCCAATCCTGGCATGCCCAGACTTCACGAAGACGTTCATCCTGCAAACAGACGCCAGCGACTACGGGCTCGGCGCCATACTCACGCAGCATTCGGACCAAGGCGAGAGAGTAATCTCGTATTCAAGTCGCTCCCTAAATGGAGCGGAAAGGAATTACTCCGCAACGGAAAAGGAATGCTTGGCGATTGTATGGGCCATAAGAAAGTTGCGACCATACCTGGAGGGATACCACTTCAAGGTAATCACGGATCATATGGCACTGAAGTGGCTCAACAGCATAGAGAGCCCGTCGGGAAGGATTGCAAGATGGGCACTGGAACTCCAGCAATATGATTTTGAGATATCCTACCGGAAAGGCCAACTTAACGTCGTGGCGGATGCCCTGTCAAGACAGCCATTGCCAGCGGAATGCCGCCGCATGAAGACAAAGAAGGCAGACCCGAAGACAGCGGAACAGGGACGCGATTGGATAGCAGAGATGAGGAACAAGGTGGAGCAAAACCCGCAGAAATACCCAGACTACTTGCTGGAGGGTGAACAGATGTATCGCCACATACCCCACAGGGCGGGGAACGAGGACGTGGTCGCGTGGAAGCTATGCGTACCCAGAGGATCAAGATAGAGGGTGATAGCGGAAAACCACGACGCACCAACAGCCGGTCACTTAGGCAGCAGGAAGACGATCGCAAGAGTGGCTGCGAGGTACCACTGGCCGGGCATGCACCGGGACATCAGAGCCTACGTACGCAGCTGTGAGAGCTGCATGAAGTACAAGCCGAATCAGCTGCAGGCTGCAGGCAAGATGTTGACGCAGATTCCCGAGGAGCCGTGGGCGACAGTGTGTGCCGATTTCGTCGGGCCACTGCCGCGGTCAAAACACGGCAATGCTATGCTGCTCGTGCTGGTGGACCGGTTCTCGAAGTGGACCGAGTTGGTGCCGATGCGGAAGGCGACCACGGAATCTCTACAGAAGGCAATAAGAGAAAGGATCGTCTCACGGTACGGCGTCCCTAAAGTGTTAATCACGGACAACGGGGTACAATTCACAAGCAGGGCGTTCTAAAGATTTCTGGAAGAATTGGGGGTGCGACACCAATTCACTGCACCATACACGCCGCAGGAAAACCCGACAGAAAGAGCAAACAGGACGGTTAAGACGATGATCGCCCAGTTCGCGGGGGCCGACCAGAGGACCTGGGACGACAAATGGCCGGAACTACAGCTGGCAGTGAATACCAGTGTGGCGGAGTCCACCGGGTACTCGCCAGCGTTCGTCACCCAGGGTCGAGAACCTTGCCTGCCAAAAGCTCTTTTCGACGAGCACACAATCGGAACCGGAAAGGCGACACAAACACCGAAGGAAAATGCACAAAAACTGTCGGAAATTTTCGAACTCGTCAGGCGCAATATGGAGAAGGCAGCACAGGATCAGGCAAGGCATTACAACCTGCGAAGAAGACCGTGGACGCCAAGGATTGGTGATACGGTCTGGGCAAAGGAGCACCACCTGTCCAAAGCGGTGGAAGGCTTCGCGGCGAAATTGGCCCCCCAGATATGACGGGCCATTCACAATCACTAATTTTATTTCCCCGGTAATTTGTAATTTACGGCACAGCCAGAATGGCAAGGAAAAGAGGGCTCACATTAGCGAGCTGAAGCCGAGCACAACCGAAGGGGAAAAATAGAGGTGACCGTCATACTGGGGGCGCACTGTACGTGTGTTTCGCGAGAAAGGGAGAGGACGATACGGAGTATCGAAGAAAATGGCCACCCACACACACGTAGAGTTTGGAGCGCGAGCGTTTGGAGCGCGAGACGCGGGTCAGAGGAGGGTACACAGCCGTACGCATATAACGGATCACTCACACTAATAAACCGAAAGAGAGCGGCGGGAAGGATCCCGTTACCGGTACAGATCCAGAAAATAACGGGAGTGGCGGAAAGAAGGAAACCGAGCTGTCGTGGGGAACCACGTGGGAGGATTCGGTCTTTTCAAAAACTACGATCGAGATGGCCGGACGCAAACAGCAACAGCAGCAGCAGCAGAAGCAGCAGCAGCAGAAGCTGCAGCAGCAGAAGCAGCAGAAGCAGAAGCACCAGCAGCAACAGCAGCAGCAACAGCAGCAGCAGCACCAGCAGCAGCAGCAGCACCACCAGCCGCAACAACAGCAGCCGTTGCCCATGAAGCAGCTACGCAAGCGTAAGGTCGGCGCGGAGGGCCGCGACCAGCGGCAACAGCCAGGGGCGAAAGGGGGGCGTCGGCGCACGTCGTCGGCCCTCCAGCTGCTGGCGTCCCCGCTGGTATCGCGGTCGCCGTCGCCGGCTTGGTGCGAGATGTCGGAGAGGGAGGTGTCCTCCGACGAGGAGGTCGACGGCGGCCCCACCGCGGAGATGGTCACGGTGGAGTTGTCGTCGACAGAGGAGGACAGCGGCGGTGAGACCGTCACGCCCGTGGTCTCGTCGGATGAGGACGACGACCGGCGGGCGGCGAAGGCCAGGAGGAGCTATAGGCAGCTCAGGCGGGCCGTGGCGGGCGGCGATTTCATCCGATGCGGAACGGAGGCTCCGTCGGGGGACCCCGCAGAGGTGGCAGCCATTGTGGTCAGGCGCCAATGGACGCTGCGACGGCTGCAGGAGCAGGAGCGAGAGAGGGCGGCGGCGTGGGAGGCGTGGCAAGTGCGCCTCCAGCAGGCAGAGGAAGAGAAGGCCGAGTTATGGAGGCCGCCTTCGAGGTCGCCGTCGGCGTCATCGTCGTCGTCGTCGTCGTCGTCATCGTCGTCGTCGTCGTCGTCGTCGTCGTCGTCGTCGTCGTCGTCGTCGTCGTCGTCGTCGTCGTCCTCGTCGTCGTCGTCGTCGTCGTCGGCGTCAGCATCACCGCCGAGATCGCCACCACCGCCACCGCCGAAATTGCAGTCGCCACCGCCATCGGCAAAACTGCCGTCGCCATCGGCAAAATTGCCGTCGCCACCGCCGAGACGGCCGTCGCCGCCGTTACCGCCGAAGCTGTCACCGCCTCCTCCGCCGGCGTGGGTGTGGCCACCACGGCCGGAAGGACCGCTGCCGTCATCAACACCGCCGCTGCCGCGAGGACCGCCACCGTCGCCACCGCTACCGCCGCCGCTGCCGCGAGGACCGCCACCGTCGCCACCGCTACCGCCGCCACTGCCGCAAGGGCCGCCGCCGTCACCACCGCCGCCGCCGCCAGGGTCGCCAGTGGCAAGAAGCACGCCGCCACTGCCGCAAGGGCCACCGCCGTCGGCGCCGCAACCGCCGCCACGACCGCCGAAGCTACTCCGGCAGGTGTCGTGCCCGGAGGCCCAGGCACCGAAGAGGCCCACCTTGCGGAGGACGGTGTCGGTGGAGCCCGCCGGGCGGGAGATAGCCCTTACGGAGTGTCCGGAGGCGGAGAGGGTCGAGGCGGAGAAGCAGGCCCAACGAGGGAGGACCCAGCGGTGGGCCAAGCTGATGTGGTCGGAGGGGGCCCGCTACCGCATTAAGATGGCGGGCGGGCGGGCCAGGGTGTTCAAAACTAAATAAATGCCTCGCCAAGTGCCAGTGAATCGGCTGTGTATGTAGGGGACAGGGGTGGGTGATGCCGGAGGTGGACCGGCCAGTAAAAACACACACAAAAAAAAAACAGGCAACCACACACAAAAAATACACAAGAAAAAAATGTAGTTGGGGCCGGACGGGTCAATGACCCCGCGAGGGGCGCGAGCCAGGCGCGCGGGCCGGCAGGGAGCGAGGCGAGAAGGGGTCAGCGACAGACCCAACGACTCCATGGACGGCCGCCCGCGGACCATCTGCCGGGCGCGACGGGCCAAGGATGGCGCCCGGCGCATGAAGAGGAAGCATCGACTGGCAGCCGGGACAAGCTGGAATAAAGAGAGGAAAGGGTAAGCCGAGGAGCGGCCAAATATTTCACAAACTTACCTGGAAGCAAGCCCGGGCCTCCAGTCCAAAGGGGCTGCTGGGGTAGAGGGGGGCAGTGGAGGGGGAAGAGGGGCCAAGAGAGGGCCTGCCGGGACGCGCTGCATCATGTTGGGCGCCCCGGCACATAGTCATCGGGGAGGCGCTCGCAGCTCAACCCGGAAAAAAAATGCATGCTGCAAGAAGAGGGAGAAAATGGTGAGAAATTTGGAAAAGAACGAAATAACCTCAAGTACTTACCAAAACAAAACCACGAGGCCAGCGGAAATTGGGAATGGGGTCGCCACGATAACGGCGGTCGATCGATAGTGCGATCGATGGGAGCTAAAAAATACTGGAAACATCGCTGGCCGGTCACACTGAATATGACGGCACCCTGAGGAGTGGCAACGCCACGATCGATAGACGAGTTATCGATTGTGCGCGGGGAAATTCTGCGCGGGAGACTTTTCAAATTTGAAACGAGGATCGGAAGGAGTCGCGCGCTGGGAATTTTCGACAGTCAAGATGCCCTAGTCAAGAAGCCCAACGACGGGATGTCTACATAAGCTGAGACTTAGGTGCTGAGATTTGAGGAGCTCTCAGCCGTGGCGGGAGGAGGTCGACGAGGGAGTGGCAGCGGCCACAAGGATCAAGGAAGGATCGAGGTGCGCGCAAGGAGCCATGGAGGTCGAGACGCCGCAGTCGAGATGCCTTACTAAGCTGAGACTGTCCGGCTGAGATCCAGAGGGCCCTTGGCCGCACTCAGGAGTGGAGGTCGACGTGGGAAGGATGCAAATTGAGAACGTTTCCCCAGAACATTCCGGAGCCCAAAGCTTTTAAAAGTTTCCGAAGGAAGGGGGAGATGTAAGGGTTTGTAAAACGCCTTACAAGTTTGAGTGCAGGAGAGCCGCATAGCAACAGCGGGATACGCGGCATGCAGAGGAAAAAGGGAAATAACGGTGCAAAGGACTTTGGACTCAATGCTGCGGTGAGTCTGCAGACTTTGGACCCAATAACGGTGAGTCTGCGGACTTCGGACCCGCGCAAAGAGGAGAGACCGTGAATTAACGGTACCGGTCTGGACTTTGTACCCGTTATAACGGTGAAGTTCTGGACTTTGTACCCGTTATAACGGTGAAGTTGGCGGACTTTGGACCAGCACAAAGAGGAGAGACCGTGAACTAACGGGACTTGTGCTGCCCTTTGGACCCGATCACGCCACTTGTCCTGCACTTTGGACCCAATCACGCCACCGAAGGAGGGAAATAACGGGACCAGGGTGGCATATAAAAGGAGGACGCGTGCAGGAAGCTGGACAGTCAAGTGAAGTCGTGCAACGAGATCGTACCAACGCGAGTGAAACCCCAAGGAGAATACCAAGTGCCAAATAATCCGGAATCAAGATCGCCGAGTCAAGAAGCCCAACGACGGTCACGTCTACATAAGCTGAGACTGCCAAGCTGAGATCCCGAGGGTACAAGGTAAGTTGTAGGGTGCGTCTACGAGTCTCGAAATCGACGAAGTTGGTGGAGTCTTGGCAGTGGATGTTGTGCGAAAGGTACCCGGCGTCGGTTTCCCATGAAAGATTGAGAACCTGCTGAGGGCCAGGCCGACGAAGATCCAGTGGAGTTGTGCGAAAGGTACCCGGCGTCGGTTGCTCATGAGAGATTGAGAACCTGCTGAGGGCCAGGCCGACGAAGTCCCGACCGAACTCCGGGGTGGAGCGAAGAGTGGTGACTGCAGGCATCACTGCTTAGCCCCGCTAGGGAGGTTCTGCCTAACATCCTCCAAGGTTGTGAGAGGCTCGTAGCGTGCCTAATACGCGACCGGTGCCCGAAAGACTCGGCAAGGCAGAGGACGCACGACAGGCGTACCGCCGTAGAGTCGACGTGGGAGCCACTACCGGCGTCGACGAGGGAGAACGAGTCATCAAACAGCAGAACCACGAACCAAATATCGAGATATAAATCTACGTACAATAAACCCAACAAGTATTTCTAAATCTAACCTAACTCTGTGTTATACTTTGGTCTCGGGGTTACGCATCAATAAATTTGGTGGGACGAACACACAAACTCATCTGAGCTAGCCGCACGTTCACGTAGCGAGCGGAGAAATAAAAGCAGTTCGTTACACCAGTTATCCTCGCTCGTTTTTGCTCTGTTGAAGAGCCGGCGGGTGGAGATTCTGAGCCGTTCCAGGTTGTCATTCCACCATGGGGCGTCTCTATCTGCTTTCCGTCTGCCAAGATGGCAACTGTCCTCAAAAGCATTGGTTATCTTCTTGCAGAGGTTATCCACTGCCTGATCCAATTCTAAGGAATGTCTGGGTATACCTGACGGTTCGTTAGAGAGATTAAGCTCAAGAGAGGACTTGAACCAATCCCAGTTTGTTTTCTTGGGATTCCTTTTGGGGGCGTCCCTAGCGGCGTTGAAGTCTACTTCAAATCTAATGATTCGGTGATCCGACATTGATTCCTCTGGCGACACATGCCAGTTCTTGATAAGTGGTCCTAGAGACCTGCTCATCAGAGTTATGTCTAGGACCTCCTCTCTTACTCTAGTAATGAATGTCGATGTGGACCCGACATTAGCGATTTCTAGGTTACTATTTACAATAAACTCTATTAGCTGCTCACCTCTGTTGTTGACGTCGGTGCTTCCCCATATCACGTGATGTGCATTGGCGTCACATCCTATGATTAGGGGTAACTTCTTCCTTCTGCAGCATTCCACGAGTCCGATGATTTCCGGTGGTGGGCATGCTGCATCCCCAGCGAAATACGCAGATGCTATGGCGATCGCTGGTAACTTTCCTGTGCCGCTCAGCGTTACTGCGACACAGTCACTGGTTAGGAACTCTGAAAAGATATTATAGTTGATATATTTTCTTATTAATATGCATGCTCTTGGGTGTGCACCCCGTTGGTCGCATATTACCTTTGATTCCTTGGTGTACAGGCCTTTAATGCCCTGATTGCACCCAGGCTCCTGAATGAGAGCTAGCCCGAGATGTTGGGAGGTGAACAACCTGGCCAGGACGGTGGATGCCGCCTTGGCCCGGTGCAAGTTCACCTGGGCTAGCTGCGTGCTGCGATGTGCAGCCATTACTGGAGCGGGTGCTCCATGTTTTGTGAAGGGGGCGGGCATTCCCCTTCACTGCCTTCGGTTAGGGTGACGTCGGCCTCCTTCTCGTCGATATCTTCTCGGAGGGGCTCTTGTGCCACCTCCTGGGAGTGTGAGAGACGTTCGTCCTCACTCTCCACGTCCATATCGGCGATAGCTTCCTCCTTTGCACCCAATGGCTCTTGTGGCTTTCCGAGGGATTCCTCGACCTCCACTTTGCCGTCTTTGGGGCCGGGGGGCGCTGCTTCTGTTGCCGCCATCTTCGCCGCCTTCCTGAGACCACTCACCGAGACCACTCACCGAGACGGTCCCGAATCTTAAGTTCAGCTGGTGCCCTTTAGAGACGATCTCATCTCGGGTGAGTTGGTCTATCCCAATAACGAGGAGTGCCCCGCCTCCGTCGTTCCTTCGGGAGATCACCTTCCAGGAATCGACCTCCATTCTATTCTGGCGTCCCAGCATCATCAGAAGCTCCTCATCGCTTCTTTCTGCGCTTCTAGGGCAGAAGACTGTGACATTGTATGCCGCAGGAATGTCTTCCCCTACCCTAGTGTCAAGGGGCACGCCCTTCCAAGTCCTTAGCTGAGGCGTCACAGTCCTCAGCCAGTCCGCTGAATCCTGGTCCAAGCAGTCTATCAGGAGGTATCCGACCCTAAAGTGGATACCTCTGAAGGCGACTGCTGAGTCCCATTCAGACGTGACTACATCGTCCATTATGGCCTCCTCCAGCTCGGCAAGCTCTTCGTTGCTCAGGTAGACCTGCGGGTAGTCCTCAGGTAGTACCGCAACTCTGACTCTCTTGGCGGCCTCCGCGTAGGAGGTGCCCGTGAGAGGAGCCGTGGAAGTGGAGCGTGGCTGCTTCTCACCCTTGTCACCCGCCTTCGACACGCTGGGTGTGCCAGCAGATGCCTTAGGGGGGTCTCCTCGTCGCCGCCGCCTTCGATGTGGTTGGCTCATCAGGCCTTGGTGGACGGGGGTGGGGTGCCGCTGCCTCTTTGATGCCCTCTGACTTGGCCCTCTTCGGGGTGTCCATCGGAGGGGTGAGGGTGCTATTTGCCCGCTTGCTGGCAGGGGCAACGTTTTGTGCCACTGGTCGTGGCTCCTTCGCCTTCTTCAGAGCTTCAACAGGTGTCATGCCCTGTTGAAGGTACCTGAGGTACCATTTGACCTTGGACCCCGACAGGCCTTTCCTGTAGGGGTCGCCAAGGCCTCCTGGTTGCCCTCTGGCTGGAAGGACATCTGCCTTATTGGCGGGCTTGATCTTCGGTACAGCCGCGGGGGGTGGGCAAGCCGGCCGGGATGGTCCTGCCGGTAGCCCACGTTCCCGAACTGGAACAGTCGATCTTTGTGGGGTTGTCCCACATTCTGCGTCCGCGACGCACTCCTGATGGAAGCTGCGCTCCTGGGTGGGGCTGGTCCCACCTGGGGTCGCACTCCGTCAAAGAGTATTTCTTCAAGGAGCCTTGCGGCACTTGAGTCAGGGATATCCTGCGGTATTTTGGTTTTCGTAAACTTTTTCATGTTTTTGAATCCCACGAGTTGCGGAGAAAGTTTGGTCCACCCGGGCAGAAATCCGCCATACCCGGGTAAGGCGCAGTTAGGACAGGCGGTCGCCATTTGCCTGAACCCTCCGTGAGAGACTGGGCTATTTGTTAATCCGGGCCCCCAGCCAGGCTGACTATCGGCACGGGTCGGATGACACCTTAGTACGGCCCGGAGTGAGATTGTGTGGGGAGGGGAGTTGATAGGTAGTCGTGAGGGAAGAGGAGTGTGTGAGGCTATACTTTCGAAGACGGCCAAACAAACGTCTCATCAGTACACCGACTCCGGTGTACCCGCTGTTTGTCCGGGGTTGCTTATTAGCTTACGCCTATTCGCAACTAACCTTATAGAAGGCCGTTCGCTATCCGCAACCTGCGACCCGCCTGGCGGCCCCAGCTAAGCCCCCTCTTGAACATCCCACTAGTTCTCGAGGACCAAGTGTGTATGATAACGATTGCCTTATATTTTTTGATAATATCGCGACTTTGTTCGATTTAACTCGGGTCTCTCAACCTTCAGCAGCTGCTTTGAGGGAACTTATTGATACAGCATCAGCGGTTTATGACTCTCTATTGTTATTAGGAAATCATGAAGACATCACAAATGCTATTTTTATCCACTTAGTGCTGTGGAAAGTTGACGGTAAGACTCGCTCGAAATGGGAAGAACAGCTTGACTACTCAAAGCTGCCTAAGTGACTGTCAATCGGTATTAAATCGAAGATCTCAGCAGTTGTCTGGAGAAGAAGGTAGTAAGTTTAAGCAAAATAAACCAAATCAAGACCGCAGGGCTGACACGAGTAAAAATATTAAGCATTCTTTTAACTGCGCTGCTGAAAAACGAGACTTACGCAGTTCTTGTTGTCAATTTTGCAATTCTAGAGAACATGAGATAACAGGTTGGCAGCCATATGCAGCTCTTTCGGTTCAGCAACGATTTGAATTTGCAAAAAGTGTTTTCCTTTGTATAAATTGCTTGAAAAGGGGTCATACAGTGTCAAAATGTAAAGTTCCAAAGTGTAGGATATGCGGAAAAGGGCATAACGCATTGTTGCATAAGTTTTCATCGTCAAGTACTCAGCAATCATCTCAATTAGTGCAAGAAAGCTCATCTACTTCGCATGCTATGCATGCCACAGTACCAGATAAGGTAATACTTGCTACTGCAGTTGTACATGTCAAACGCCAAGATGGACAGTACATTCTAGCTAGAGCCCTACTAGATTCAGGGTCGCAAATAAATTTAGTGACTGAGGAGCTCGCTAGTAATCTGCATATAAAGAAAGATGATGCGAATGTGAACTTACTTGGTATAGGTCAACAGCATACTGAAGTTAAGAAAAGCATTCACACAGCTATAAAATCTAGGTTTAATAGCAATGACTACATGGCAAATTTCTGCATACTCAAAACAATTTCAGGATATCAGCCAAATCAAGCAATAGAAATTCAGGGCTGGGATATACCATCAAATATTAACTTGGCAGACCCGCAGTTCTATAAGCCACAAAGGGTAGACATGTTAATAGGAGCAGAATCGTTTTTCGAGTTAATGGCGGTTGGACAAATTAAGAAAAGCCCTGAGCATCCCACACTGCAAAAAACCTTGTTAGGATGGATTGTGTCTGGACGATATCGGTGTCCCAAAACACCAGTTGCGCCAATTGTTAACAGTTTTAAATGTCAGGAAGAAAGTTTAAGGGGACGTTCTCTTTGTTTTGGATCAAAAAATCGATTTTTTTTTTTTGCAAAAATTGAAAGCCACATATCCGTAGAATATGTGTGTGAAAGGATTTTTCGATACGATGAATTGTTTGTCAATGAGAGCGTCTCGAATACACCTGCGTCACGCGCGCTGTGGTATGCTCTAAAAACTTTAAACGCGTTTTTCTCGAAACCATGTTTTTCAACAAAATTACGCGTCCACAGCTTCATCCTGTGAACCGATTTGCTTCATGTAAAATTTTTATGAAAGTAGATGCTTTTCTTTAGGGCACTAACCTACTCCGGAAAAAAACAATAATTTATTTATAATTTTTCAACGTGGTTTAACTGAAAAAAAATGTACGAAAATCGAACTTTAAAATTCGAACGTTCATTACGCTGTCAATTTATGGCCGCAATTTGATGCGACTAGGTTAGTGCCTCGCACAAGTATATTAACTTTACATAATGGTAACAATTTTCTATTTCTGTTGACTACAAGAGGCTGCAGGCTCGTAATTTTGGGACGATGTTTGCCGCGCGGAGGCAGGCGAAAGCCGCCATTTTGCAGCCGCCATTTTGAATTTCACCATCAAATAAATTTTAAAAAAATCTTGAATAATAAACGAATTCAAAAGCAAAACCCGAAGTTCGTACGCCTTTTCATTATCCCACAAAAAATTGACGAACTTTGCCTTCATTTCGACCAAAACAAAGAGAACGTCCCTTTAAGTAGCATAAACGACACACTACAAAAGTTTTGGGATTTAGAAGAGATGCCTTTAGGAAATTTCCAAGCACGTTACACAGAGGAACAACAAATGTGTGAGAAATCTTTTATTGAAAATGTCCAAATTTTGTCAGATGGAAGATTTGAAGTTAAACTTCCATTTAAAAAAGAACCTAGTTCCTTAGGATCCTCATTTGAAGTTGCCAAACGTAGATTCCTTTCGTTGGAACGACGATTATTACGAGACTCGAATTAAAAGAAAATGTAGGTATATTGATTTTATGGAGGAATATCTCGCTTTGGGGCATATGTCACCAATTGATTATGGGGTCCCGACTCCTCCACACTATTTCATTCCGCATCAGTGTGTAGTGCGCCCTCAAAGTACAACTACTAAGCTTAGAGTTGTCTTTGATGCTTCAAGTCGTACAACTACACAAGTTGCGTTAAATGACATATTGATGGATTGATCAATCCTGCATGGGGCCGGGATGAAGCTCGCCAAATGGTATTCCAATTGTGCGGAGCTATGTACTTCCGAAAGCACAGACAAGTCGTTGGCAGTAGCCGAATCGGATCCAACAAAAACTTTAGGAATAAGATGGTTTCCCAAAGAAGATGAACTTCATTTCCAGTTAGAGGATTCATTTTAAGATCTTCGTGCTACAAAACGCAATATTTTGTCTGTGTCAGCTAGGTTATTTGATCCCCTTGGTCTTCTATGTCCCTTAGTGACAAAAGTAAAAATTCTACTGCAGGAGCTATGGATGGAAAAGTTAGATTGGGATGAGTCGGTACCACTGAGGTTACATACAAGTTGGGAGGAATTTTAAGTTAATTTGTTGCACCTCCATCAGTTAAGGATTCCCAGATATTTAAAAACTGCACGTATTCGCCGATGCCTCAATTAAAGCTTATGGTGCTCGTATATATGTTCGTACAAGCACAGCTGATGGAATTAAAGCCATGTTGTTAACGGCAAAATCCAAGGTAGCCCCTTTAAAAACAAGGCCACTTCCCCGTCTTGAACTTTGTGCGGCTCATGTTGCAGCTGATCTGTTGAATAAAATCAGGCCTATAGTATCAAGCCCAATTGAAAAAGTAACTTTCTGGTCGGATTCGGAAATAGTCCTTCATTGGGTGAAGACTCATCCGTCGAGTTTAACAGTTTTCGTAGGAAACCGAATAGCTGAGATTCAGGATTGGAGCAAAGGCTCAATTTGGCGTCATGTTCCGACAAAGCAAAATCCGGCAGACATTGTATCGAGAGGAGCATCAGTCGAGGAACTCAAGGATCTTATGTGGTTCAACGGTCCAACATTTTTAACTGAACCAGAAGATAAATGGCCTACTAATAGTCATTTTGAACTATCGCAAGGTATGCAAGAGTTGGAAATTAGAAAATCAGCTCTTGTCTGTGCAGAACCACGCATGCAAAGTGATCTTTTAGAATACATAGAAAAACATTCGTCATACATTAAGACAGTAAGGGTCATTGGATATGTACTTCGATTTATAAGAGGATGTCGAAAAGCGGCTCGTGAGGCGAATATACTGCTCACAGCAGCTGAGCTGAAAATGGCATTTGACAAAATCATTCAGGTTGTGCAGGACTTCGAGTATGCAGAAGTCATTGATAAAATTCGCAAGAAGTCATTACTCGCGCCAAATTTGCAGAAGTTGTGCCCGTTTTTGCAAGAAGTCAAGCTAGAACATTTAGCTTGGTGAGAGTCGGCGGGCGAATGTTGCAAGCCGATATTCCATTTGACGCGAAATTTCCGTGCTTACTCAGCCAACAGTCGCAGTTCTTAAAGAATTACGTTGAACATTTGCACAGAAGGAATTTCCATGTCGGCGCGCAAGCCTTAGGCAGTCTTCTCAATGAGCGGATATGGGTGGTTAATGCTCGGGAGATATGTAAAAAAGTTGTTCGCCAATGTTTGGACTGCTTTCGATACAAACCAAAGCTGCTTTCACAAATC